TCTTCTAAGGAATAGACAAAGACACGGTCTACATTTTCAATTATATTGAGCCTCCCAACTCTGCCACTTGCTATCATGGGGTATTTTCTGAAGTTTATTTCCCCTCAAATGGAGATAATAATAGAAATTTCTCTCATAAGGCTATTGAGATGAGCAGATGAATTAATCCATAGGAAAGTGCTTCACATACAGAAAATTGCTACTCAAATATTAGTTGATTTTTTTTGGATTATGCGTCTTCTCAATACATTAGTTCTTGGCCTTTTAAAGTCTTCTGGTTGGGAAATCATAGTATTTAAACTTTAGTCCCCTGAACGTACTATCATTTGTGCTACTAATCCTTGCAGGTTGCCAGTGAATTTGTTCCTATGAAGCATTGAGTCCTCCAAGACATTAATAATGATATGAGCCACTCTTAATTGAAAACCACTAATGTGTCAGGTAATTCATGAAGTGCTTTATATAAAGTCAGCCCTCTGTATCTGCTGATGCAGAACTGTGGATATGGAGGGTGGAGTATAGTGGACTTGAGCATCCAGTGGATTTTGGTGTCTGTGGGTGGGGTGAGGGTGCTCCTGGAACCCCAGATACCAAGGGATGATTATATCTACAGCATCTCTAATCTTTACAACACTCCTGAAAGGTGAAGTCCTATTGGACCCATTTTACAGATAATGAAAAATGAGGCTCATGGAAGTTGTCACCTGACGAAGTTCACTTAGTAAATAGTGAAGTTGGGATTCAAACCAGGTCTATCTGGCACCAAGATTCATGAGTACTCTTTTCCTTATGTCATAATGTCTTCTTAACTCTTCAAAAACCACTAATAACTTTTATTATATTGTGAATAAGCTTCAAATAAGAGCTGTAATTTGGTTTCTTCTGGTCTTTATTTGGGCATCCCCCCAGTGGATTCTGAGCTCTGACCATAAGAGTCTATCGATCACACTTTCTCATCTCTCCCTTTTTCTGTTCAGTGACTGTCTACTCAGCCTGCAGGGCTCCATCAAGGTCTAGCTTCTTTGTAAAGTTTTTCTTTACTTCTCCAAGCAAAATTAATTACTCCCTTCTCTATGTTCTCTGAACATTTTAATTTGTGTCAAACAAAATTTCCTCTTTTTAACCATTCCTTTTTTCTAAACAGTTTTGACCTACAAAAATGACTTCGAATTGTTTGACCAAATATCTCTTTATGCCATCGTATTGTACTTGGGGACAGGATCTGTCTGTCCCCTCCCCACCCTGCCTTCAGGATATAAGGTTCGTAACAGTTAACCATAATAAGGGTTGGACTTCCGAGCACTCTCTATGGGGCAAGACTGATCTAAACACTTTCCGTGAAAGAACTTTTAATTCTCAGAGCAACCCTGTAAGAGTTGCATATATATGCATTATACATAAAAATATTATATATTATAATAATTATATATTATGTATAAATATTACATAATATATAAAACAATATTATATATACTATGATGCAGTATATTATACAATATTATGTATAAGCTAAGGTGCTCCCAGGTATTATGGTTGTAGGCACCAAGAAAACTGAAGCTCAGCTCTTGCGCTTACGGAGATCATGGCCCTGCAGGAGACTCTCAAAGAACACAGCAGTGATAATGATAACGAAGAGTGATTGCTGGACTCCAGCGATGAGCCTTAGGGGAGGCATGAATGGCCTGCTGAGCACCTGGCAGAAAGGAGGAGGTGACGGAAGAGCCAGCCCAGTCCTCCAGGAGGGGAGGGGAGGGGTAAAATTATCCAAGTGAATAGGTATTCCAGGTCAGCGCAGTTGTGTTCCAGGCCTACGGAGCAGCTTATGCAAAGGTCCTGAGTGGGGGCGGGGTGGGAGGGGAGGAGCAAAGCAGCCGGTGAGAGTTCAGAGCCCAGCAGAGCGGAGCGGGGTAGGACTGGGGGCCGTGGGACCAGTGGCCTGGATTTGAACCCCAGCTCTATCACTTACTACCTTAGTGGCCTTGGGTAGATTTCTTAACCTCCTTGTGCCTCAGCTTTCTCGCCCGTAAAATGAGTGTCGTAACAGTACCTGCCTGGTGGGGTTGGAAGGAAGATCACCTGAGTTAATACTTGTAAAGCCCTTAGAACAGTGCCTGGTTTATAGAAAATGCTTAAAAATGGTTCTTGGGTAACTAATTTTCCTTTGTTTAGAGTTAAGGAAAGAAAAGTTTTGCTTCAGAAAAGGTAGAAGTTTATGATTAGAGCCCGTAATTGGGTTCTCATAATTATAAAATAATTAGAATAATAGCCATCGCATATTTATTGTGTGATTAACAAGCGTCCCGTGGCATGCTAACCTCGAAACAACGTTGGAAGAACAGTACTGATGTCATTTTACTCATGAGTTCACTGAGGCATAGAGAGGTGAGATAACACTCCCACACTTTGAACAAGTAGCAGAGACAGGTTTTTTTAAACCAGGCATTTGCTTCCAGAATCCTTGAGCTGAGCCACCATGCTGTAATGCCTTTTTGCTTTGCAAGATTTAAAATGAAAGTGAGATGTGTTGGGGCCGAGATCATTCATGGTTTAATGGGGCTATTTCAAAACAAAAACAAGAATACAAAGGAATGAATAGATGCTTATATGATGTATTCTTGTTGGTTTCTATTGCTTCAGGCTTTTTTCAGTGAACTGATGATGCCCCAGTCCCCCTGAGAAAAATCAGTAAGACCTCACATAGAGCTAAAAGTGGCTCCCTTGAGATGCTCAAGAAATAATGATCAAGCCAAAAAAAAAAAAAAGAAAAAAGAAAATTAAAAATACAAAGAAATAATCGGTGGAGTTTTCTCTCTGCCTCATCTTTCACCTTCTCCTTTAAAATTTTAACCCAAGCCAAAGATTTCATTTAAGGTTTTGATTGCAGCCTTCAAAAGAAAATATTTTTAAAAGAAAAAATCATAAAACACTGTCACTGGTAGAATTATACATAATTTTAGAAAACAAAGCAGTAGGGTGTGGCTTCAGAACTAAAGATTTTGGAAGCTTATGACAGTGAACCTACATGAGACTTTCAAGAACATCCAATGGTGAAAAAGTTACGGGCAAGGACCTTCTTTGAAACTTGTGAACTTAGGTAACTTATTTAACTTCTCTGTGCATCAGATTCCCTTATCTCATGAATGGGGATGATAATAATGCTTGCCACAAAGGTGATGACATGAAGAGTAGGTGAGTTAATTCATGAGAAATGCTTCCTACGATGCCTGGCAGACAGTCAGTGCACAGAGTTACTTTCCTGGGGTCATCCAACAAGCTAATGTCCGAAAACAGAATTCTCACCCCCAGTCCTGTTTTCCAGGCAAGCTGTTGTTTTTTTAAACAACAGATTATTGTGAACACTCTCAACATAACTGATATTGAGTTCCAGGGTTTGTGTTGCTTCTAGGAACTGAATTCATATTCATTTCCTCTGATTCCCTTTTCTTCCAGTATTGTAATATCAACTCCTTAGATAGAAAGCCCTTTGATAAATTTCTGAGCAAAAATCATAATCTTAGGTCAAAGCTAGGCAGCTGAATTTATGGTATGTATCCTTTTAAAAATTATAATTATTTTAACTTTACAGAAAAGAAAAAAGCAACACCTGATGTTAAAACTCAAACATGTGTTTGTTTTTAGCTAAAAAATCCAAACAGAATTACCGACGTATTAAAAATCTTCAGAAATTGTTGCAGAGGGAGCTATTAAAGTGACAGTGATGCTGGCATCTGAAAGTGATATAATTGCAAGGCTTAAAATTTAGCATCTTTTTGTTTTTGAAATTAAACCATTATATAAAGACACAGACTCAAGTTACCTACAGCTCACAGAGTCAGAAGCAGGAAAACTTGTCTCTTGCTCATTTTATGTTATGGAGTACAAGGTTAATTTGAGAAATTTTGTCACGGGTTGGGGAGACATGGCCATTCCTCCCGTCTTTCTCTTCTAGCCTGGCTGAGGGGCTTAGGAGAGATTCACAGTGGAGGGAATAAGGATTTGGAGGCTATAACTGTATTATGAGAAAAAGCATGTAATTCGAAGAGGTCATCAGGAAATCATTTCCCAAGGAGGGCCCTTGTCTTTGAAATCCGTTCTCACTCCTGGTCTAACAAAGCCCTAGTTCATTGAACCTCAAAGGATGATCTTAAGCAGCTGGTTTTGGCTGGCCCGCTTTGATGGCTGGGGTGTTTGAACTGCAGTGGGGGTTAAAACGGTCTAGTTCAGTTTAATTATTTGTGTATCTGCTCAGGATTCCTCTCAAGGAAGAATGGGCTTCAGCCTGTGGGAAATGAACATCTCTCTGTGAGTAATATAGGGTCTTAGGCGAAATGAAATACCTTTTTCGGGAGCTCAAGTTAATGTTTTGGCAAATTAGTTCATCCTATAACTTGGTGCTTCTGCGGTCCATTTGGTTTGAGGGAGAAGAATCTACACTTTCACATCTCTGTGCCTTTTACCTTCTGCAATCTAGAAGACCCCTCCACACCTTCACACTTTCCTAAATCCTGCCCTTTCTCCAGGCATTTCCGTCTGTAACCTTTCCAAATCATTTAACTTAAAAATTCAAAATTAAAATATGATTTTAACATCCCTTTGGTATCCTGGGGAAGGAGCAGAGGGACCAATGCCCTCTGGACTTGGCTTCATTTGAGAGAAGATTGTTAAAAGTATATTACAGGATGGAATTTTCTATTTTTAGCCTTGTCTTCAAGGAGAGAGGGTAATTTTCTTCTACAGTATATCCCTTCTTTTCTGGGCTAAAGAGTTGCTGAATTAGATATCACTAGATTCTTCCATTAGAATATAAGTTCCAAGAAGGCAAGGACTTGTCTATTTTATTGCTATATTAAGAATGCCTAGGACAGTGTCTGGCACAGAGTGGGTTCTCATTCATTTAAATGAGTAAATGAATGACCCAGTGTATCAGTCAGGGTGGGCTGGGTTATGCTGCAATAACAGCAACCTTCAAATCTTAATGGTTTATTTCTCGTACATTGCAGGTCAGCTGGGAGCTTTGCTCCACTCCCCACCTCTCCTCTACAGAACCAAGGTTGACAAAGCAGCTTTCATCTCGAAGGTAGAGGAAAAGAGAGTTGTACGTTTCTAAATTGCAAAAGAATATTCTGACCTGGAAGAGGTATGTGATCCTTTCACTTACAACTCAATGGGCAGAACTAGACACAGCACTTCCCAAACCACATGGGAGTATGCTAGCAGTCTTACTGTGTGCTCCAAAAGTATTGGTAGCAGTAATGACTACTACACTGAGAGTGGTGAGGTTTTAACTGAAGTGTTTTGGGGGATCTTATCCCTTATTAGAATTTTGGTGAGGCCATGAGGCAGTTTCATTTCTCAGAGTGACTTTTAAAGTCATAAGTCAATTACTTTAAACAAGGGCAATATTACCCAGAGATGTGAAAATTGGTCCTTGGAGGGTGAAAACATTTACAACGTTTAGCTTTTCTAAGGGTCACACTACATAGACAGATATATAGTATATGGTGGTATTTAAATGTCATAGTAGTGGCAATTAGGAAAAATGTTTATACAAGCTCCATAGGGATCAATAATGAAAAAAAGGTTAAAACATTGCTTTAAACCTATGTGATGTGAGCTTGTATCTGGACATCTTGTTGCTGGTGGTATTTCATGGGAGTTATGGCTCCCTATGGTTTGTGGTTTGTTTCTTCTGGTAATGAAGAGATGATGCCTCCATTCCAGGCCACGTTCATTAAAGTGGTCCTTTCTTTCACTGTATCTGCTGTTCTCTAAAATGTCCTCACCTGTTGGTATAAAAGGCCTATAGAAAGGACATTACTAATATTAGTAGCAGTAGTAATTTCATAGTCAAGGCAAATATCCCCCCTCAGGACCACCATTTAGGATAACCAGTGCCAAATCAGATGGGCTCTTTGCTAAATAATGGACTGACTGGTATTCTTGTTCTGATATTTTTGGTCATGTGACTACGGAAATTTAAGTCTCAGACTCACATTGGCTAGTTAAACATTTGTTGACTTTCAGTGGAAAACCTTATTATAAAGAGAAGATAAAAGAAGCAAAATGTCCCTTTCTTATTTCTTACGAAACCAGGGTTGGAATTTTTGTTCCATCTATTTCAATTGCACCTTGAGCACTTATTCACCATGGGCTCTTCTTCAAATTGAATAATTTCTTTGTGCCGTGGTTTCCTCATAGGTAAATAGGAAAAATAATAGTACCTACCTCATAAGGTTGTTGCAAATATTAAATGAAGTAATTACCGTATATATGTGTCTTGAACAGTGCCTGGTGTATAGCTAGTCCCAGATAAATATTTGTTACTGCTAGCTATATTACATTATTATTATTATCAATCCTCATACATGGTCCTCAGCCTTCTTTGGTATAAGTTTTCTCCCTCTTTCTGCAACTCTCTTTCTCCTAGCTCCAGAGCTTTGATTAGGTATGCGTGTGTGACTCAATGAGCTCTAAATGGAAGTCACTGAATGGGACTTCAGGGAAAGCTACTTCAAAGAACTGTACCCAGAAAGCTTCTTCTACTTACCAGCTGAAATGCAGATGGACTTTATTCCTGTTGGTGCAGCAGCCACCTTGTGATCATCAGGCAACAACAATGATACTGTTACTTTAAGGGTAGTGCAGCAGAAGGATAGAAAGAAGTTAAATCTATGACAGCATTGTTAGGCAACTACATCACCCTAGACAAAATTCCTCCTGCTTCTTGGTATGTGAAAAAAGCACATGCTTATGTGTTGAAGACACTGTTTTCTGTTGCTTGCAGCAGAAAGAAGGCATTTTAAGTTGATACACTATTTTTACCTATTTGAAAATGTGTGTGTAAATCTGGACACTTTATAAAAATGAAAAAAATGTATACATTTATAAATTACTGGTAAGAGGCACATTACTGGAACACGGTAGGGGTAAAATAAGTTTTTGAATTTCTTTACCCCAAAATTATAAAATACAAGGGTCACTCCATATGACACTAGGCAAATAACAACTTGTCCATATTACTATTTTTTAAATATTATTTATTTAATTTAATTTTTTTACAGCATGGCTGAGATATAATTGACATATAACATTGTGTAAGTTTAAGATGTACAAGGTAATGATTTGATATATATGTATACAGTCATGCCTCATTATCCACAGGGTATTGGTTCTGGGAGCTCCCACAGATAGCAAAATTCATCAATGCTTAAGTCCTTATATAAAATAGTGTAGTGCAGTCAAGCCCTCCATGTTCCCAATCCCCAATCTGGGGTTGGTTGAATCCGTGGGTGTGGAACCTACAGATACAGAGGGCTGACTGTATATCGAGAAATGATTACCACAATAAGGTTAGTTAACACATCCATCAACTCACGTAGTTACAATTTGTGTGTGTGTGTGGTTGGGGGGTGGGTGGTGAGAACTTTTAAGATCTACTCTCTTAGCAACTTTCAGATATATAATAAAGTAATTGTTAATTATAGTCACCATGCTATACATTACATCCCTAAAAATTATTCAGCTTAAAACTGGAAGAGTGTACCCAATGACCGCCTTCATCCGTTTCCCTCCCCTAATCCCACCCTCGCCCTGGCAACCACCAATCTTTTTTGTTTCTATAAGTTTGGGTTTTTTTAGATTCCAAATATAAGTGAGAGTATACAGTATTTGTCGTTCTCTGTCTGATTTATTTCACTTAGAATAGTGCCTTCAAGGTCCATTCATCTTGTTGCAAATGACAGGATTTTCTTCTTTTTTATGGCTGAATAATATCCCATTGTGTATACATACCACATATTCTTTATCCATTCATCTGTTGATGGGAACTTAGGTTGTTTCCATGTGTTGGCTATTGTAAATAGTGCTGCAGTAAACATGGGGGTGCAGGTATCTCTTTGAGATAGTGATTTCATTTCCTTCAGATGCATAGTCAGAAGTGGAATTGCTGGATCATATGGTGGTTCTATTTTTAATTTTTGGAAGAATCTTTGTACTGTTTCCCATAGTGGCTGTACCAATTTACATTCTCACCAACACTGTACAAGGGTTCCCTTTTCTCCACATCTTCACCAGCCTTTTTTATCTGTCTTTTTGTTAGTAGCCATTCTAACAGGTGTGAAGTGATATCTCATTGATGTTCATTCCCCTGATGATATGCCAACAAATTGGAAAATCTAGAAGAAATGGATAAATTCCTACAAATATACAACCAACAAAGACTGAATCATAAAGAAATAGAAAATCTGAGCAGACCATAACAAGTAAGGAGATTGAATCAGTAATCACAAACCTCCCCAAAAGAAACCCAGGGCCAGATGGTTTCATTGGTGAATTCTGTCAAACATTTAAAGAAGAATTAATGCAATCCTTCTCAAAATCTTCCCAAAAAAATGCATAGAAGAAGGTAATTCTAATTTCATTTTACAAGGCCAGCATTACTTTCATCCCAAAGCCAGATAAGAAAAATATAAGAAAAGAAAACTATAGGTCAATATCTATGATGAATATAGATGCAAAAATTCTCAAAAAATACAATAAACAGAATTCAACAGCACATTAAAAAGCTCATACACCATGATCAAATGGGATTCATCTCTGGGATGCAAGCATGTTTCAACATACACAGATCAATAAGTGCGATACACCACATTAATAGAATGAAAGACAGAAGTCATATGAGCATCTCAATAGAGGAATAAAAAACATTCTATAAAATTCAACATCCTTTTATGATTAAAAACTCTCAGCAACTTGGGTATAGAAGGAACGTACCTCAACATAATCAAAGTCAAATATGACAAGCCCACGGCTAACATCCTTCTCAATGGTGAATGGTTGAAAGCTTTTCTTCTAAGATCAAGAATAGGACAAGGGTGCCCACTCTCACCACTCCTATATAACATAGTACTGGTAGTCCGAGTCAAAGCAATCAGGCAAGAAAAAGAAATAAAAACCCTCCCAATGGGAAAGAAAGAAATATAATTGTCTTTTTTGGCAGATGACGTGATCTTATACATAGAAAATCCTACAGACTCTACTAAAAACTATTAGAATAAAGTAATTCAGTACAGTTTTGGGATTCAAAATCAAAATACAAAAATCAGTTGTGTTTTTGTACACTAACAACAAAATCATCTGAAAAAGAAATAAAGAAAACGATCCACTTACAATAACATCAAAAACAATAAAACACTTAGGAATAAATTTAACCAAAGAGGTGAAAGATCTATACACTGAAAACTATAAGACATTGATGAAAGAAACTGAAGAAAACACAAATCCTAGACCTCCTGCTCACAGCGCAGTTTTAAGGGAGGCTGGAGAGATGGGATCTGTTTTCTATACTGGGAAGTGGACATTACCTCCCATGAAAACTCATATATGGAAGGGCTTTTTCCAAACTTTGGAAGGGAATTCAAATATCAGCCAGCCAAAAAGAATGATTCTGCACAACCAAGCAGCAGAGTCAGAATTCAAAACCAGATCTCTCCAACAAATAGTCCATACTTTCAAACACCATACTGAAAGTCTCAGAATTTGTAGTCAGGAATCGAGATCCCACATTTTTAAGATAACAGGGCTCCCATCTGGTGAATCCAAGGGGATGAAAACACTATCATGTGTGTGTTTTTCTAAGTCATTTTCCCCTTCTTTCTCTTTCGAGGTTTCTTCAAGGATCTGATGGCATTCCCATGGGGTGGATTTATCAAGAGGAGGCTTTATTTTTTTTGACAGCTACACTGACAGCTGTATAAATTGTAGCCATGAAGTGGTATATCTGTTGAGGATGTATTCCTAGAACAGGCAGATATGCAGGCATGAAATCAGCTTTGGAACATGAATCATTAGGATGATTCCCTTATCCACATCCCCTTACCCCTCCAATGGGTTTCTACACAAATAATGAATCTTGGCTGAACTGATCAGTTGCTTTCTGCACTTACTTATTCATGTGTCTCCTCATCTTTTGGGAAGGAGTGGGAAATCTGGTTGATAAGAACCTAGGCCATTTTGTTTTTACTGATGGGTGGAGTCACCATCAAAGGTTCTTAACCATGCTCTGTTTCTTATTGCTGCTGCAGTAACCACTTGCAGCCTCTGACCCTTGTTTCCTATCTCCATGTGTACAGCACAGAGGTCTGGGGGAGATCACCTAGCCTCCCTGAGCCTCAGTTTCCCCAACTATGAGGTGGGGCTAATACTATCTTCCTCATAGACACAAAGCCTCAGTCAGGACTGAAAGATACTCTGTGTGTTAAAAGTGTTACCTGGCTAGGCCCATAGTAGATCCTCAAACCATATGAGCTGAAAAGGAATCGTAGAAAAGACAGGGGCTGTTTACATTTTAAGTTAAAAATAGCTTGTTGAAAAGGGTAAAATAGAAAATCAGTGTAGGTCCTAATTTGTTGCGTTTAGGAAAGACAGTTTATTTAATTGAATGTCATTTCTTCCTCCTTAACAGTAGCTATTATTGAGGATTTACCCTGTGTAAGATACTTTACCAACATGATCACATTTAACCCTCACCAAAAAAACCCTTTGAATTCAGTGCTCTCATAAGTGGTCTCATTCTATAGATGAGAAAACTGATGAGAAAATCTAGAGAAGTAGTTAAGTGGCAGGACTGGGATTGGACTGGGGCCTGTCCAGCTCCAGAATTAGCATTTGTAACCATGGTTCTCTTAGGTGGGTACAAAGGAAAGTTGGCTCAGTCCCCACCATCACATGATTGCACTTCCCCAAACGGTGGAGGTGAGTGAGTGAAAGTTACTTTCCCTTTGAGCAAGTGGATCCTAATTCAAACCCAAGTCTGTAAGCTGCCACACCTGGAATCTGTGATGCTGAGTAATATTGCCGTCCTAGGTTCTGTGTAGCTTGTCTGCATGGGTGGATGTGTTCCAAATTCCGGCACAGAGGTCAGATGGGGCACTAACTGCTGAGGCCGTCTGGATATGAATTGACACCCCATACCCGGTCAGGATGCCTCATTTTGTTTACTCTTCTCAGTTGGCTACGCAAGTGGTAATGAAAGTGCTGAGGGGCCTGGTTTCATCTGGAGAGCCTGGGCTGAGCGGGATACCTATTCGGGGAACAAAGTTCTGTTGAATAAGCAAGCTGTGTTTCAAGAGAACCATCCAGCTCAAAAACAGGCCACATGTTCCGAATCTGATCTCTTGGCAATGGGGGCTCCCAGCATTATTGTTATTACGATATATTCTGACCCTTTCTTCACAAAGCCAGGTAAGTTCCCTTGAAAAGAAATCATGGTGTTGGCACTGGATGTCATTTCCAGTAGCAGTTCTTCTGGTACTGGCTACAGGAACCGAGTGGTAAGATATACTCACACGAAAGGGATCCTGGTAGGGGTGTGAGAATGGGGAGGTGTAGGGAACGTTATAACTGCAGGGCCAGCACACGCCTGCCACAGACAACACTCAGCTATCATGACTGTACACAGTGGTCCTGACAGGGAAGGATCTGCACGGCTAGGGAGGAATTGTACGCTGTGTGTATTTGTGTGTGTGTGTTGGTGTGGTGATGGTGGTGCGCTCTAATTAGACTCTCTTTTAGCGGGAGTCTAGACCCCAGAGTT